ATCCCCAGCCTTGGCCACCACCACTCTACTCTCTGCTTCTAGGAATTGACTCCTTTAGATTCCACATACAAGTGAGATCACACAGTGCCTGTCTTTCTGTGTCTGGCTTATTTCACTTAGCGTAATGTCCTCTGGGTCCATCCACGTTGTTGCAAACGGCAGAATTTCCTTCTTTTGAAAGGCTGAGTAATATCCCATCCTATATACAGGTGGGCAAAGGTAGGTTTACAGTTGTTTATATGGAAAATAATACAATAAATAATAATACAAGAACAAACTGTGTTTTGTGTACTCACAACTGTAAACCTCCCTTTGCCCACCCCTGCATGCACCACGTTTTCTTCCATCATTCATCTGAACTCACTCCAGGTATCTTTTCCGACCACAACAGAATGACACTGGGAATCAGTAACAGCAAAGAAACAGGAAAACTCACAAACATGTGGAAAGTAAACAGCGCACTCTTGAACAACTATTGGGTCAAATAGGAAATCAAAAGGAAATGGAAAAAAATATCCTGAGAAAGATGGAAATGCAAACACAACACAGCAAGACTTATGGGATGCGGCAAACGCAGCTGCTAACAGAAGTTTATCCTTTGCCTTCTTGCGGCTCTAATCACCCCCGAGGCTCGGGTCCAGCTGACAGACTGGCTTGTGCCTGGGGTGCCCCAAGAGGGAGCACTCTGGCTCCCCATCTCCCAGGGACAGGAATGGGTTCTGAGGGTCCTCCCAGCAGCACCCAAGGCAGCTGGACCAGCTCTCGGATGGATCCCTGCGCTGAGCTCTCTCTGTGCTGTGCGAGTCTCTACTGTCTGCCCAGGGGAGCCAGCCCTCTGAGTGCAGGGCCCCGCCCAAGCGGCCAGGCCTGCTGCTGGCTGGCCCTGGAGCTGTGCTGAGTAGCAGCCTGAGAGCTGGGAAGCAGGCAGCCCTCGTCCAGGAGGCTGCATGAAAGAGAGATTCTCGGGGTTCATGGATGTTGAAGAGATGACTGGGATCAACCACCTCATGCAGGGTTATAAAAACATATCCGTGCCCTGGCCAGTTGCTCAGTGGTTACAGCATAGGCCCTTGGACTGAAGGGTCTCGGGTTCGATTCCCAGTCAAGGGCACTTACCTTGGTTGCAGGTTGGATCTCCGGCCCCGGTCGGGGCTCGTGTGGAAGGCAACCAACCCATGTGATGTGTCTTTTTCACGTGGATGTTTTTTTTTTCTTTATCTCCCTCCCTTCCTCTTACCCTCCCTTCCACTCTCTAAATAATCAATGGGAAAGGTATCCACAGGTGAGGATTTAAAAAACAAACGAACATATCAGCAAAATAAATAAATACTGTTTTCCTTGCTGTTACTGATTTCCAGTGTCATTCGGTTGTGGTCGGAAAAGCAGCAAAGTGGAATTGGCAAATCAAATTGAAGAAACTTTGAGGAGTTCTGCATATCTGTTGATCCTGAGAATAACGAAGTTTTATGAGGGGAGGAAAGGACCTCGAGGCTCTCAGTTCTGTTCTTGGCACAACGCGATGCACCTACCGGGGAGCTCTCCAGACCTTCAGACGGAGGTGCAGGAGGCACGGTGATCTCCTGCCGACACCTGCAGCGGTGGGAGGTGTCCAGGTGCCGTCAGACCACAGGACGTGGCAGCAAAGGATTCTTCTCATCCTGCAGGAGACCGGTGGTCCACTTGATAGCCCTGCTTCCAAATTTGAATTTATCGTTTGTTTTAAATTTCTTTACCACATGGTAAGTGTCATGGGAATTTTTTTCTAAAGAGCTTCAAAGGGAAACTATAGACATTTTCTTTGTCTTTAAAAGCTAGCAAGGATCGTCATCTGAGAGAAATTATGAACATTGCAAAGCCGCTTGGGACAGAGTGGATAAATTATGCCAAAAAACAATTCCTAAGGACTTCAAAGTTGAAAAATATTTCTTTCCAAAGAAAAAAACTTCTGAAATAAAATAAATGGTGGCAATTCAGAGTAGGCATTTCTTCTGCTTTGTTGGAAGAAAAATGCTATATGAATAACTGTTCTGCAGGAGGGGTCCCTAGGTTATTGATTTAAATTTACACTTTCCTAGAAACAGTCGTGACAAAGTGAAACAAATTTTTGAACTGCCCCATTCAGATGGAATGAAATAATAAATAGGAATGGTTAAACATGAGCAACTTTTGTTTGGCAACTTTTTTCCCCCAATTCTCACCTGAGGGTATGTTTTCATTGATCTAAGAAAGGAAGGGAGAGAGAGAGAGAGAGAGAGAGAGAGAGAGAGAGAGAGAGAGAGAAACATTGATGTGAGAGAGACACATTGATTGGTTGCCTCCTGCATGCACCCTGACCGGGGCCAGGGATAGGACCTGCAGAATGTGTCCTTGACCTGGAATCAAACCCATGACTCTTTGGTGTGTGGGTCAATGCTCTAACCACTGAGCCCTGGCCAGGGCAACCACGTGCAACTTTTGATCCCACAATTCAGAGCATGTTTTATGAAACTCTGAAAGTACTACTTCTGTTGTGATTGCCTCAGCCTCATGGATCTTCATGGCTTGCTGATTGACAAGGTCTTCACCACCCTGTTCCTTCAACTCAGCTATTGAAGATGGCTGTGCAGAAAGCTCATTTTCCACTCTTTGTGGCCTGGATGTCCACTTTTGCTGCCCAACCATGAGAGAGGTACTGACTCTGATGGCTGCCGAGTAGAACGAATCCACAACAGTGAACACTTCCTGAGTCCTTACTTCCTCCAGCCACGGAGAACACCCTGAACTCATGAGTTCATTCAGTCTTCAAGTAACCACTCGGGAAGGGATTAATGCTTCATTTCTTGGGTGAGGAAATGAGGCTCAGAAAGGGTAAGGAAGGTCACACAGCAAGGAAGCCTCAAGCCCAGAGCCCCAGACACCAGAGCCAGTATAATCACTATGTTATCTGTGAGCAAACAGAGGCGGAGCCAGGGCATGGAGTCTTCTGCATTAGTTGAGATAAAAATGTGCTACCACTTTAATCTCATCTCAAAGAACTTTTCATTTCAGGAGGCATCATGTGTTTCATGTACATTTCTGGGTGACCAGACATTCCCATAGAATTCTGAAGCTCTGCTGAGCAGCGGTGGCTCCGGCACGCCTTCTCTGATGCTGGGATGACATAAAGGACATACGTTACAGTGAGATACTATGAAAACTTCCTCTGCCATTAAAAAATAAATTTCCCTGGCTAAACAAATGGTGCAATATTTACATAATGGAAGAGTACTCAACGATGAAAAGGGGCACAGTACTGATTCATGCAGCCACGTAGATGAATCCCAAAAGCCTTGTACTGGGTAGAGTAAACCAGACACAAAAGAATAGATACTGTATGGTTTTATCTATATAGAGTTTTAGAAAAGGAAAACCTAGTGTATCAGTTTGCTAGCACCGACTGCCATAGATGGGGACGCTAAACAACAGAAATTAATCTTTCTCACAGTTCTGGAGACTAAAAGCTCAAGGTCAAGGTGTGGTCCTAGCCAGTTTGGCTCAGTGGATAGAGCACTGGCCTGCAGACTGAAGGGTCCTGGGTTCTGTTCCGGTCAAGGGCACATGCCTGGGTTGAGGCTGGGTCCCCAGTGTGGGGTGTGCAGGAGGCAGCTGATCAATGATTCTCTCTCATCATTGATGTTTCTCTCTCCTCTCTCTCTCTCTCTCTCTCTCTCTCGCTCCCTTCCTCTCTGAAATCAATAAAAATATATTTTAAAAAAAGATTAAGGTGTGGCCAGGGTTGGTTCCTTCTGAGGCCTCTCTCCTTGGCTGTAGATGGCTGTCTTCTCCCTGTGTCTTCACAGGGTCTTCCCTCTGTGCGCCCACATGTCTGTCCCAACCTCTTCTTGTAAGGGCACTGGTTAAACTCGATTAGGGCCCACCTATGTGACCTCATTTTATCTTAGTTACCTCGTAAAGGTCCCATCTCCAAATACACTCACATTCGGAGGTTCTGGGGTTAGGGCTTCAACGTGGGAATTTGGGAAGAACATGATTCAGCCCACCACACCTACTCTATGGGGAACACACCAGAACAGTAGTTGCCTCTGGGAGCAGTGTGGGATAGAGGTTGACTGGGCCACAGTGAACTTTCTGGGGTTGATGGTAAACTGTATACAGTGACAGGCGTTTGGGTTACACAAGTATCTGTATTTGTCAAACTTACTGGAATAATACACTTAAGACATATGCATTTCACTGGATGTCAATCTCACCTCCAAGAAAACCATAAACAAATATTGAACTCTAGTTAATGATATGCTTGCATAGTGTCTAGAGGCAAAGTGTAGTGATGTCTGAAATTGCTTTTGAATTGATTGATGTGTAACTAGATGGATAGATACAGCAGCATGTTCACAATTGCAAAGTCCAGGAGGTGGGTTTATGTGGGTGGGTATTCATTGTATAATTCTTTCAATTTTGTTGTATGTTTGAAAATTTTCATCACAAAATGCTGGGGGAGAATATTTTTAAAAATAAAATTTCCACTTAAAAAATGTTAGCCAGACATTTCTCATGAAGTCTCCTTGATTACGAGATCAAGGCCCAGTCATGGACGGAATGACCAGGACTCCTGCCGAGTCACCGGTGGGTCAGCCCCCACAGTGTTTAGCCCCAGGACGCTTCTGTCCAAGGAGGAAGGGTAGGAAGGCGATTCAGGGAGAGGCCTGAGGGTGGGAGGGAGTTCCTGGGACCAGCTAAGGTGTGCAGGCTCAGGGTCAGAGGAAGCTGAGGTGCACTGTGGTTTGGAATCCAGGGCAGTCTATGATCGGTTTCCTTAAGCCATGATGACTCCATTTAGGCTCAGTGAGAGTGCTGGGGTGGACATGTGAACGATATGGAGTTGGCAGCGCATAGTAGGCACACAAGTACTGAATTTAAAGAGATTGGAAAGGGGCCTTCCCAGGACGTAATCCTCAGGAGACAGTGAAGTTGCCTGTCCGGCGGGGGAGTCGGTCTCTGCCTCTGCCAGGCCCACCTCTGGCCTGGCCTGCGATGCCTTGAGGAATGGGCCCCGGAGGCTGCTGGGTCTCTGGGTTCCTGGACAGCCAGGGCGAGGGCGCCTTGCCACATTTTTAGGAGAGAGCACATCCAAAACAATTTCTTTTTCTAAAAACTCGGCGCTAACGGGTTCCAGATGTCCGTTTGTTATATAATGGGGTTTGTTTTAATAGCGTCAACTTCCAGATGTGCAGCCTGGAATCAAGAAGCCCATTGGCCCCCTGGGGACCTGGTGAGCCAAGCCCAGAGCTGCCCGGGGAGAGAGCAGACGGACATGCAGAACCAGGCACGGGAGAGGAGCTGGTGGTGCCCTCCTGCTGCCCACTGGGCCGCTCACCTGCCCAGCAGCTATCCCTGACTGGGAGAGTGGGGTCGAGGGGGTCCGCCTCCTGCCGCTCAGTCCTGACTCTGAGCAGGGCTCCCAGTGGACAATCACAGAAAGACAGCCTGAGGGGTGTGTGCTTGGGAATCAGGCTGCACCAGTGCGGCCTGGTGACCTTGGTCAGGTCTCTCGGCCTTGCCGATCCTCACTGACCTTGCAGGTACAGTGGATTAACACCACGCTACCCTACGGATCCCTGTGAAGAGTGAAGCAAGGTGAGGGGCACAGAGGAGAATTGGGAAGCCTTGGGCCTTTCCCCTTGGTCCGTGGAAGAACAATCCCTTGTAACCCAGCACACCCCCAATGCCCCTCCCCAAGCCGGGAGCCCCTGGGCGGCACAGGCGAACTTTTCCCTGGACGCTGGAAGGGAGCCAGTGATGCAGCGCTCAGCACCCACACCCCCAGCACCTGCCCCACTGCCCTGCAGCTCCCACAGACAGAACCTTCTTCCTGGCCGAGCCAAAGGCAGCCTCTGGGGGACCCCCAGCTGGTCGGAGCTCCACTCTCTGCAGCCTTGCTGACCGTCCACTCCCTTGCCTACCTGTGGGCCCTCAGGTGCGGGAGGCAGTGACCAGTCTCCCGATCTTCTTCCTCTCGGCTGGCTGCAGCTACAACATCCGGTGGACTCAGGTGGTGGTGCCCTAGGAGGGATGTGCAGGTCTGAATGAGAAAGAGCCCAGAACCTAAGTGTAACCACAGGAGACAGACACACCCTTCCACGCCAGGAACACTGCTATGGTAAGGACGATCACCATCCCAAGTTAATGCGTGGAAACAATGCAATTCCAGCAAACTCCCAACCAAACTGGAGGGTGGGGGTGGAGGGTGGGACAATATAAAGGTGACATGAAAAATAAGTGTAGAGTAGTCATTGTAAGGGACTGAATGGTTGTCCCCCCAACCCCCAGTTCCTATATTGAAGTTCTAATCCCCAAGGTGATGGTATCAGGAGGTGGAGACTGTGGGAGGTGATTAGAGGGCAGAGCCCTCATAAATGGGGTTAGTGCCCTCATGGCAGAGACCCCCAGAGCCCTCTCACCCTTCTTCTGCCTCGTGAGGACACAGTGAGAGGTGGGTACTCTGCCACCAGGAAGAAAGCCCTCACCAGAGCCCGACGATGCTACCACCTGAGCTCAGACTTCCAGCCTCTGGAGCTGTTAGAAATACATTTCTGTCGTTTAAGCCACCCAGTCCATGGTATTTTGTGATGGCAACTCAAAGGGACTAAGAGAGTCATGATGTCTCTGTGAAGGAAGAACAATAAGGGAGGACCTACCCTCCCAGCTGTTAAAACATATGGTAACACCTGGCAGGTGTAGCTCAGTGGTTAAAGCATCGGCCTGTGCACCAAAGGGTCATGGGTTCGATTCCCAGTCAAAGGCCCTGGTCAGGAAGTGTGCAGGAGGCAACCAATCAATGTGTATCTCTTACATTGATGTTTCTCTCTCTCTTTCCCTCCCCCCTCCCTCACTTCCACTCTCTCTAAAAATCAATGGGAAAAATATCCTTGGGTGAGGAGTAATCAAATACCTCAAACATATGGTGAAACTCTAATAGTTTAAACAGTATGGCTCTAACACCAGAATAGCAGAGAAATAAATGGCACATAGAACTAAAGGTCCAGAAGTAGAGCCATCTACAGGTGAGAATGTGGAATGTGGTAAAGAAATTCATTTCAAACTAAAGCAAATAGCAATGCTAGCTGGTGTGAGAGATGGTTTATTTTTCATTTTGTATCTTTCGAAATGTCTGACTTTTCTAACTTCATACATGTAATACTCTTTTTTTAAATGTCAACATATTTTTATGTCAATATGTTAACTAGAGATTTTGGTTCCTTTGGGTTTTCTCCTTTGTACATCTTTGTATTTAAGAGAAACCTAACAGGTATTGTAACATTAACAATAAAAGGACATGTGACACTCTGTTGCTGGTTATCTCTGGGAGGTGGGCCCCAGCCAGGCTTTTCACCTTCTATGCCATGTATTTCCATGATGTTTGGACCGCTTCTCCTCCTCCCCTTCTCTCTTTGATTCCAAGTATGACTTTAAAAATCAAAAAGAGGAGGAATGAATTTTGAACAAAATAAACAAACGAGTGCAGAAATGATGGATTACTCAACAAATGGTTCTGGACAACTGGCTAACAATTTGGAAAAAATAAAGTTAGATTCCTACCTTATACCATAATAACCTCATATGGCTTTAAGATTTCAATGTTAGAAGTAAAACCATGAAAGAATCCCGAAACGTGCCCTGGCTGGTGGCCCAGTTGGTTGGAGCATTGTCCGGTACACCAAAAAGGTTTCGGGTTCGAGTCTCAGTCAGGACACATACATACCTAATTTGCATGTTCGATTCCCGGTTCAGCACATACGGGTGGCGGCCAATTGATGTTTCTCTCTCACATCCATGTTTCTCTCTCTCTAAAATCAATAAATGTACCCTTGAGTGATGATTTAAAAAAAGAATCCTGAAACATATATGATTTTAGATAGGCAATGATTTTTCTAAGAAGACCTCAAATGCATAGATTGATAGATTTGATAACAAAATACATAGTATCCCCCTTTCCATCAAAACAAAATATAATAAAAGTCAAACTGAGAAAAAAAGACAGATAAGAGTCCTACGTAACAAAGAATGAAGAATTTCAGTATATAAAGAGCTTTTACAAAAATTCCTGCCCCTCATTTCTTTTCCAAGCCAAAAATAGAGGGAATTTGACCACATTGAGCCCTGAGTTTCCTAGCGCAGCTGAGGCTGGGGGGTGGGGCCGTCCAGAGGGTTCAGAATGGAGTGGAGAGCTCATGGGGCACTCCAGGGCCGGGCTGGGTGCCCTCCATGTGGCAGGGGTTCCCCAGTCTCCCTGGCATCCACAATCCCATCTGGTGCCAGCTTCTCCAGTCCAACCTGACACACGCCCCTCCGGGCACATCTAACATGTTCCCACTCCTTCACACACACCAGGCACTTCCCGTTTCCATGACTTTTGCAAACGCTGGTCTCTCTGCTTGGCTCACTCTCTTTACCAGAAAAAGATCCAACTGCTCCTTGAAGGCTCAGCTCAAATGTCCCCTGTTCTGCGAAACCATCTTTACCCCCAGCCCCCGCCCAATGGAAGTCCCCTCAGGCTCCTGCAGCGCCTGCCCATCGTTCTCCCACCCAGCTGCACTTTTCTGCTTATCTGGTCCCCCAGATGGACAGGGCCTCCATGGGGGCTCCCCTTCCCCACTCCAGGTCTGGCTCAGGGCAGGGGTTAAACCAATTCTCCAAGAACAAATGAATTGCCTTGTGATTGACAGAGCAGGGCACTTGATATGACACTTCCTATGTTGGCTGGTTGAGCTTTAGGGTCAATCAAGTTATTTCCTAAAACCATATAATTTCATTCACTGTTGGACATAGGTTATGTGACTATTATGTAATGAGAAATACATTAAAGAGAGGTGCCCAGTTACAGTACGAATGAAAGTAAAAGAAAGAAACGCACCGAGGGGCAATGGTATGTGAACACACTTGAACTACGGATGGCCATGGCTGAGACCGACAAGCAGAGCCTCATACCCGGCTCGGTGCCAGCACACCCTGCCCTAGAGATGCCCAGCCTCTCCAGGGAGAAAGAGCTACGACAGCGGCATTCCCAGGTTTGGTGCTGACACAGAGAAGGAAGGGGAGCACCTGCAGTAGGATTGGAGCTCTGGGGGCAGACGTGGGGGAGCGTGTATTGCACAACCAGGTGAGCCCAGTGGTTCCCTCCCAGGCAGCAGTTTTGTCTCTTCGTCCGTCCCTGAATGCCCAGCATCTGGAAAAGTACCTGGTGCACAGGAGGCCTTCAGTGAACGTTTGTGCACCGAGTGACTGGAATGAGTCGGGCACAGTACCTGCAGAAGGGGCTGAAGTCACCTCTGGGGGCCTCCCCAGGCTGAACACTCCTGAGTTAGAAAGTGGGGCTGTTCTCATTGGAGGTTCGGCCTCTAGAGGACCCCGCTCTGAGGGAGCAGAGGCTGGGGCAGGGGAGGAGGGACAGGTGCCTCCAGCGTGATGAGGAGGCTCAGAGGGCACTGGGCACCTGTGGGGCCGAGGCAAGGACCACAAGGTGGGGGTAAGGGAGGAGGGGAGCCCAGAGCAGGAAGCCGTGGGGCTGGGCCTGGACCCCCCTCCCTGAGACAGCAGGTTGCTAGCAGCCAGGCCCAGAGGCGAAGCCTGCAGAGAGAGAAGGCTGCCGTGCCTGTGGGCTCAACGATGAGGATGTGCCTCCGGGTGGTGAGAACTGTATAACAAGGACTCGAATTTGAGGCTCAAAGGGGCCAGGTCTGTTCTCAAGGTCACCTGCTAGTGAAGGACGAGCCAAGACTCAATTTCATATCTTTCTAGTTCCAGAGACTGACCTTTTTTCACTCTGCTAAAAACAGCGAGGCCACTGGCACCGGACAGGCGTGGTGCCGGGGCCGGAGCCGGCCTCAGCCTGGGTCAGTGCGGCACCAGGGCTGGGGTCAGTCTGAGGTCAGGGCCAGACCAGGGCTAGGGGCAGAGTGGCCAGGCCCGAGAGAAACTGGCTTTCTGGGCCCTGTGTAGCCAGTCAGGAAACAGTGTCCCAAGGGTGGTGGCAGGGTCCGCCAGAGCCCAGCTCCCTCTCCCTCTATCCCCGGCCTCGCCTGACCTTCCTCCCCTGGGTGAGCAACTGGCCTGGCCCTTATCCTGGAGGAGGCTGCAGCTGCTCCCACAGCCCTGGTCCCAGCAGACAAAGGCGCTTTCTTTCCCAGCACAAGGTCTCGATTGCATGTTGCCCTGAATCTGAAAGCTCCTATGAAGCAAGTGGTTCCCTCCCAGGCTGTGTGTGTGTGTGTGTGTGCGCGCGCGCACACTGGGTCCCAGGGAGCTGGGTCATGGGGCCGTCAAGCCCTCTCCCTGCCCACTGCCTGGGTGTGGCCCAGCATTTCTCAGTCTGCATCCTTTGTATACATCCGTGGGTGTGTGTGCGTGTACGTACGTGTCTCTCTGGGCCTGTATGTGTGAGCATGTTTGAGCATGTCTTTGCAGCAGCATGTGTGACTGCCTAGATGTATGTATGTTTCAGTGCACACCTCTGTGCACACCAGCACACACCTACACGTTTGCACACCTAGGTACCTGTGTAGCTATCTCTGTACCCAAGTGCTTGGGTGTGTGGGTATGTTTCACGTGTGTGTCTACATGAGGTCCCTGTGCCCTCTGGCCGCGCCTCCCCATCCTTCCCCGCCCCTGGCTGCTGCTCCTGTAGTTGTCCCTTCCTCCTCAAGCTGCATTTGTCTGGGAACAACCTGGCCGGTTCAGCTCTGGGAGGAAGACAGGTTTGTACAGCTTGGCCTGGCCCATACACTTTCCAAAAGTTCCCTGGCTGCCTGCCGAACTCTGTGCAAAAAAGACTTGTGGGGAATAGTCTAACAGGAAGGTGGGGACCCTGTCGAGGGGGCTCAGGACCCCCGTTCCAAGCCCCAACATGAAATGGGAACATCAGTCCATGGAGCCTCACCAGCGAAGGGCCCTGTGCCCTGAGGCTGAGCTCCATTTGAGGACCCTCCACCCCCGAGGAGGGGACACAGCATCTCGGGGCCTCATGCCCAGATGGCAGAGCACAAAGAAGGTGAGGCCCCGAGAGGTGCTTCAGGCCTTCAGGGGGCTGAGCCCTTCCCGGCACCTTGCTGCCCCGGCCCTGGTGACCTTCCAGGGACAGCCTGGGTCTGCCCAGGCCAGGGTGCTGCCACCAGTGCCACAGCCTCACGGGAGGCGCTCCGCCTACACAGAGCCCAGAGCCTCCAGACTCCAAATCAGAAAGTCGGTGTCTGAGCAGCACCGATGTCACAGGGCGGGTTCTGTCCAGCACCCACCGGACCTGGGCTTATGGGGCCCTCCGGCTGGTTTCTCCCAGCCCCTTCCGCACCCCTGACCTGAAGCACAGGGGTGGGGGCTTCCCGCACTGCTCTCCCCACTGATACCCGGGGCCCCACCCCTAATGGCACAGGGGTCTTGCAGGTGCCCCAGGCTGTTGGAAGGAGGGCTGTCCAATGGGGTGAGAGCTGATCCGAGTGAGGCTCAGGGCACAGGTGGCAGCCACTCACCACAGGACCCGGGCGCTGCTGCTGGCAGAGGTGCCACAGCCATGTGAGGAGGGCAGGCCCGTGGGCACAGTGGCTGCTAGAGTTGAACAGGATGTGCCCGGGAGGCTGGCTCCTTCCAGTCCCCATGGCCTCCACCAACCGCCCCCTCTCCTTTTCCCTCCAGAAATCCTTTCCTCGCTGGGGAGGGATGTACTGGAAAGCATTGCTCTTACCTGGCATGGGTGTCCAGGCCAGGGGCTTCTTTGGAAACTCAAAAGCCAGCAAGACAATCTTGCCTCTCTTTTTCAGTGCCAGCTGTCCCTGAGAAGTGAGCGTAGACTAGCTGACGGGGGCACGAAGGGGAGGGGGAGCCCACGGTGCAAGGAGTAACCGAAAACCGAAACACACAAGGCCAGGAATTGAGCAGTCTGTGCACCACAGTGACTCCGAAGAGAGGCACTTGAATGGGTGTTTAATCTCTTTGAACCCCTGCTCCTTGTAGAGGCTGGATGGCCGGGCCGGTGGGGCCTGGCCATGGACCGTGGTCCCTGACCCTGGGGCCTGTTTTGGGTGCTGGGTGTGCACAGAGGGTGCTGTTGGAGGGGCTCTGAACCCTCCTGTGCTGCTCCCTCCCTCTCCCGCCCCCAGTCCAGGGGAGAGGCCTCTCCACCCCCTCCCTGAATGGGATGCTAATGATTTCTAATTGACCTGGGGAGCAGAAGCAAGTGGCTGCAGGAACTTAGCCGGCAAGAGCACCCACTCCCCTGGCCCGCTGTCCAACTCTCTCTCACGCGCACACCCACACGGGGAGCACCGGAACTGAAGGCTCTGTTCCTTACGGACACACACCCTGCTTCTGATGGGGAAATCCTACAAGGGGCTGGGCTGGGCAATCTCCGCAGGCCCCTCTAGTCCACCCGACAGGCCTGCGTGTCCCTTAGCCCCCGCCGAAGGCACTCACCCGGGCCTTGGCAGCCCCTCCGGTCTGGCTCTTCAGTGGCCTGGAAAGTTTGGGATCTGTGAATGGAAAAGCCTGGGTCAGAGCTGGAGTGGGGATGGGGTGGAAGGGGGGGGCGGTGGGAGCAGAGTCTTGAGTTTTCCTGGTCTGGCCTCCTCCTGGTCCAAGCCAGGAAAAAGGCTAAATACCTCAGCAGCTCTGCTGGGCCTGGCCCCTCAGGTCCCGCCCTCCTCCCCCACTGCACCTGCAGAGGGGCCCTAGGTGTGATCCACACACTGGAAGGCCCCGAGGATTCTCAGGGAACCCGAATGTGCTGGGACCGAGATGGGTGAGGTCCATGCGTCATCCTGAGGGAGCGGTACAACAGACTAGGGCCGTGGTCGGCAAACTGTGGCTCGCGAGCCACATGCGGCTTTTTGGCCCCTTGAGTGTGGCTCTTCCTAATCCTTAGGAGTACCCTAATTAAGTTAATAACAATGTACCTACCTATATAGTTTAAGTTTAAAAATTTTGGCTCTCAAAAGAAATTTCAATCGTTGTACTGTCGATATTTGGCTCTGTTGACTAATGAGTTTGCCGACCCTGGACTAGGGTAATGTTGGCAAGTGCCCAGCTTTGTCCCACATGGGACTGCCACACCTTTCTGGACACCCCCTCTGGGGTGGAGCACTCACCCCTCGGGGGTGCCCGCTGCCAGCATCACACCCACCTGAACTCCTGAGCCTGTCCTAGGGTTCTGCTCCTGAGAGCCGGCTGAACATCCCAGTGGGGGACGTAGCCCTGGGAATGCAAGCTGACTCTGTATTCTCAGGTCGCCTGCTGGTTGTACCAGGAGCCACGGCCCACGGCTCTCCAATTACTCAGGTAGCAAATGTGTGCTCTGTGCACTAGATCCAACCTGCAGGCAGATATGTGTCTGTTCAGAGGATTTTTTGAAAATCTGAATTTATTGCACACATTTAAAAATCAGGGGATTTTATATAAATATCTGACTTTCCATCCTCTGTTGGAAAAAAAAATATCAGGGTGCCAGGCAACACAGGGCCCACATTCCCGAGTGGCACCAGCTGGCTGTGGCTGGCAGCGGCTGTCCCTTTAGCAGGGCACAATTCTTAGTGCCTTACATCTGGCCCACGACTCATGGACGTCACCTGCCTCACCTGGTGTGCGTTCGCGTTCACAAACGCTGCTATATATAGAGAAAAGGGCCCAGTGCCACTGAGGTGTGCCCAGATGGACACAGACCCGTCTGGCCATTCAGGCAGGGACAAAATCCCGCAGCTCTCCACTCTGCCCATCACCATAAAAACCACCTGGAGCTGCTCTCTTCACCCAACAGTGGTCACAAAAGGGGATGGAGGTAAGTCTGGCTTGACTTGTCCTTAGTAAACACTTGGCACAATCCTTTAAAAAACCATCCCTACAATTTCATCCACTAGGGTTGATGTCAAATTCACAAGGCTGTAGTGAGCTGAATTGCCCGTCTTCCTTTCCTGAGAATGGTGGCACTTCCTCCCACACCTCGGCCCTCACCCACGACGGCTCAGAGGCCGACACCAGCTCCATCTGCGGCCCTTGCTCCCTGCGGAATCCACACTGGCCACGGGAGACTTGAGTGCAATCCATTCAATGTCTGGTGCGGAGTCAGGAGAGGGTAACGTCTAGCAGATTTCATGGTCCCTGGATTGGTCATTCCCCCAACCAGACTCTGAGGTGCCTGACAGGGTGGTGTCTTCTCTGTCTCCCTGAGATAGCAGGAGAGACTGAGTCCTCGGGGCCGTGTCCAAGGGCTCAGTGCCTTTGGGGGGGCCATGGGTTGGGCCTGATAGTGGGCCTGCTGCCCTCAGTTACAGGAATGAGACAGGAAAAGATGGGAACTCACTTTTTCCTGCATAGACTTGGTCCCAGCTGCTTTTTCCTGTCTTCCTTTGAACTCTGCTTCCAGGATGTGGCTGCCTGGGCCTTGGGCTCCCAGCCACTGCTTCATTGCACTCAGCTCCCCCACATGTGGCCTTCCTGTTGCCTGAGCTCCAGGTGGGAAGGTGACCAATATCTGCTCATCCTCTAGGCCCGTTTCCTGGGAGGCCTCCCTTCTGCTCATATGCAGGTAACCGGCCCACAGCCCCTGACTGATCAGGACGGTCTTGCTGGCCCCTTCCCAAAGCAGGGGCAGTTCTGCCTCCTGGTCCTTAAACCCACATCCTGCATCTCCTTCTGCCTGTGCCCCCTCCCCTTTCTGGGTCTTCTCTCTGAAAACGACCTCTTCTCTCTCATCAGCAGCTTCAACCTGTCCTTGGCCCCCCTTCTTAATCCCAAACAGGATGTGGTGTGAAGAGAGAGGGCAGGGCAGCTCAGCTTTCCCTCCCAAGTGAAAGGATGCCCTGCGGGTCTGGGGTGGGGGGGTGGGGGGGCCCTCAGAGGAACTCCCAAGTCCAGGGCTTCCCTAAAGTTTATTTTAACTTAAGGGTAGATGTCACTCGTATACTAGCGTGTGATTGATATTTCTACAAAACCATTTTTGAGTTGATATAAAAATGCTTTAAATAACTTAGTTTTTTCACTGAATCTATGAATAAAATTGATGCTGTAAAACAGGGGTCGGCCAACTTTTTCTGTAAAGGGCCAGTCAACCTCTTCGGCTTTGCAGGCCACGTGGTTCTGTGGACGATGCGACTCTGTGGTTGCGGCGTGAAAGCAGCCACACGGTATGTACAGGAGTGTGCGCGGCTGTGCTCCAATAAACCTTTGCTCCTGGTCTCTGAAATGTCATTTGGCACGAGATTCACGTGTCATGAAGTGTTATTTTTCTTTTGATTTTTCCGTTATTTAAAACTGTGAAGTCCATTCTTGGCTTGCAGGCTGCACCAAGGCCAGTGCCGGGCCGTGCTCTGCCCACGCCAGCCTAGGAAGACAGTGCTGGGCCTGAGCCCTGGGCTATCAGACCCCCTCTAAATTTTGGTTCTTCTATTCCTGAACTGTGCCACTGAAGGCAGGTGACAGCCTACCTGAGTGCTGTCCTCACCTGAGAACGCATTCTGGGATGAGTGCATGCCTGGCCAGGCCTGGCAGTGAGCAGCAGAGAGGGCACCCGGAGGCAGTGCTGGGCACCTTTGGAGCTGGTTGTGGCTGAGCCACGCTGGGTGGAGGAAGGCCTCGGCCAGGGCCTGGTGCTGCCTCCTCCCGGCAGCTCCTGCAGCGCCCAGCACTGTAGGTGGGCGATCCACGAAAACCCCTAGGGCGACAGGTGAGCAGTTTTCATACCAAAAGGCTCTCCCAGCTGGGATTCCTGGTCCTGCTTCCGGGATGACTCACACCGGCTGGAAGTTAGGCTCTGCCTTCAGAGAGGACCCACTGCCAGGGAGGCTCCTTCCACATCATTTGCAATTTGCCCCTCTCTTAACCCAGAGGATTTCTCCCCCTGCCCCTTCCCCAGGCCCTTCTAGCTGAGCAGTTACCCTGACCCCCTAAACCTTCTTTTCCACCTTCTGGACGCTGCCTCTCACATGGCCCCTTGGACCTGGGCTGGTGAGACCAGACACCGAGAACATCCCTAGGCTCGCACAGCAGGATGGGAAGGAAATACCTTCTCCCTGGGTCCCTGCTCCTCTGTTTCGGGGCTGGCAGCTGTAGGCCTGGGGCAGCGTGGCCCGAACAGCCCCTCTCCCTTTGCTCATCACTCCATGGCTATTTTACAAAGCTGCACCTTAGAGGGGCAGCCAGCCCCAGGCCTCAGGCTAGCTGCCCATCCTGACTCCCCTACTGGTCAGTTTATGGCTCTGAAACCTGTTTTCCTGAGTCCCCAAATTCCAGCCCTGTCATTTACCAGCTGGGTGATTGGGGAAGTTACTTAGCCTCTCTGGGCCTCAGTTCTCTCATCTGTAAAATGGGGATAACCTCGTAGAGTAACTGTGGAGATGAAGAACATGGCCATGGAGCACTGAGAACAAGCCCCACTTGAGGAAGTGCCTAGTAAATGTGTTACTACATTGAGTAAGGTTACCAAAGAAAATGTCTGCATGCAAGAATTTAAATTCCAGATAAAATATTTTGAGTAAAATTGTGTGCCAAACATTGCATGGATATACTTATACCAAAAAAAAATAGTTTATGTAAAATTCAAATATAACTAGGTGTCATTCCACCCCCTCCCCCCCGATCCTGGCAACTCTACACTAAGGGGGCTTCACAGACCTGGGGCCTCCCTGCTCCCATCCCTTAGTTCAGGGCTCACGTGCAAAGGCCCCTCCTTGGCTGTGTGCAGGGCTGTGGGGACAGAGCCAGCTAGAAAGCCCGATTCTTGCAGTGCTTTGAGTCCAATCCCACACCCACTCTGTGCTTGCCTTGAGGCTAGGAGCAAGATCATTTGCCGGAAGCCGGTCCATCCTTGCTGCTTGACACAGTCGCTGCAGGAAAGAAACATCTGCACAGCATATGTTTCAAGGGACCTGGCATATATAGCATATTGTTCTTAATATGTTTGTTCTCCTTAAGCGCCATGTGTTTTAACCAAGGTCACCTCTCCGAGAAAGGTTGTTTCCCCAGGTAGGGATTTTTCCCTGAGGTTAGGGAGGGGATACAACCCCTTAATTAAGTGCCAGGCGGGTAGTTAAGCTACATAATCTTTACTCCCTGGAATGGAGATAAGAAACGCCCTAACCTTTGTAATAGAAATTGACAGGATTAAAATCGGCTGGTATAAATATAGATGTAACAAGACAATAAACATCAGTTCCTAATCAGTTCCTAACCAGAACTCCGACCAGAACTTTGGCTGGAGATCCTGGCTAGAGGTCCTGACTAGGCTGCTGATCAACTGAAGGCTGTCTCCGTGTCATTCCTTCTTCGCCGACTCCGTCCACACCTTTGGGGACCCCTGGACCTGCTGGGGTTGGACCCCAGCAATCTTCCTTCTCCTTAACTTTCTTGCTAGAACATTGATTTGATTACCTTATCTTTCCAGGGGACTGGTAATCCTCACCTCCCAGCTACTCCAAAGGAGCAAAGATATACAAATCAAATATATCAAGCACAATTTTAAGCACATGGCATTGATCATTTCAATCAACCCCACAACAACCCTATAGGTCCAAGTTATAATGACCCCTGTTCTATCTGAGGAGGAAACTGAGGCTTGTGGAAGGTGGGGACCTTGCTCCTGCCTCCCTCGGGGAAGCCATGTTTCTGCCCAGGTTTCCACTGCCCTCTCCCCTCCTCCCCATTCTCCCCTCCCTCTGTCCTCCAGGCCTGGGCTAAGGCTGAGCCATAGTGCAGACAACGGGACCAACCACTTCTGTCACCACCATGCTCAGGTCTTCATTCCCAAACTGATCTTACGAACACCCTCCTTGTAGGAGCCGGGACCTAATTTCTCCCTTTCCCTCCTTTCCTATCTTATCCCACAGATACTGGGCTCAGTTTGGGAAATGAGGCCCATGAGCTGCACAAGCTGTGTCCTGAGGACCTGCCCTCGTGCTTCTGCACCTGAGACTGGGTCCTGAGAAGCCAGGTGTCAGCCTCTGGGCTGGGTGAGTCCTCCACTGCTGACCTGAGAAAGATCCTTCGGTGACTTGCAGACCAGACAAATGAACAGTAATTCTTGCAAGAAACCATTTTAAGAAACTTGGTGCAGATGAACCAGCATAAAGTATTCCAGGGGGTGTGATCTGACTGTTCCGCTTTTCCCAGCCTCAACTTCTCTGAGTGCACTCCGGCTGGATCTGGTTTCTGAGGCTGAGGGGTCCCAGACTATCATAAAAGCTAGTGTTCCAGCCTTGGCTGTGGGACTGAGGGGTCTAGCCCCAGCTCTGTGCTCCGTAACTGATGAGGTAGCTTTGCAGCCTTCTGTTGGCTCTCATTAGGCTAACAGATCAATGCCCGTGTCTCTACCCAGCAACCAAGCTAGCATGAGGACAAAGGAGGTCACTTAGGGCAAACACACATAAAACACTAAACACTGCCCCAGTGTACTGTACTGGGGGCTACCTGTACTCCTCTGCCCTTGGCCAACGAAGCATCTACTGGGGCAGGCTTTGAGGTCACAAATGAAACCTTTCCTACTTATTCTGCATAAATCATCCCTCACCCTGGCCAGGTGGCTCAGTCAGTTGGAGCTTTGTCCCGTACACCAAAAGGTTGCGGGTTTGATCCCTGGTTGGGGCATGTACGGGAGGCAACTGATTGATGTTTCCTTCTTTCTTTCTCTAAAATCAATAAACCTATCTCTGGGTGAGGATTAAAAGAAGAATTATTCCTCTACCCAGAGCTCTCCAAGTCTCAACTAAAGATCTACAAAGCCTATAGTAAATCCTTACTTTAAAAATGGTAGCAGGACTGTAAAGCCTTATAAAACAACTAGAGGCCCAGTGCATGAGATTTGTGCACTCCGGGAGGTGGGGGCCCTGCACCCTCTCACAGTCCAGGAGCCCTCGGGGGATGTCTCCGCAGGGAGCGGGCCTAAGCTGTCAGTCGGACATCCTTAGCGCTGCTGCGGAGGCGGGAGAGGCTCCTGCCACCACTGCTGCACTCACCAGCCGTGAGCCTGGCTTCTGGGCTTCGGGCTGAGTGGC